GGGTGCATGATGCATCCAACAAAGTGTGTTCTCGTACGACAGTGAAGCTCTGGACATTCATTTGTCCTCTTGTTCTACTGAAATCAGTAACACATAATGGCCCATCATGGCCTATCGGTATGCATTCTTGGCTTATCCAGTGCTTATTGGAGTCAGTGGGAGTCTTTCTGTTCACTTCAATGGCCTTGGGTTAGACCCATGTGTGGCACTCTGGGGAATATTAATGACAGCAGCCCACTTGCTTTGAGAGAGTTCTGTACTTTGGTTTAAATGTCGACCTCTCGCAAGCTTACCTGAGCATGTTTGCTCACATTAGCAAGTATACTGTAAATAATTCAATTGAAAATCTCGCCGTTTTGCAAATATAACGAAGCAGTTTGCACTAGTACGCACTTTAATGACTTCAGTCACAAGCTTTGTCATTTATGCAAGCAGAATTATTTATGCAGGGTCTATTAAATCCCATGTTGTTTTTTTGCCTTTGAAACAGAAAGCAGACCCCACTTTTTTACAAGTGGATATTCTCGTCAGCTCCATGCAGTAGATCTTTTGTTATTATGTAAAGAACATTTGAGCGTCACAGCAAAATAAATGCAGAGAAGATACTATCAAACTGGTTGTGCTAGTCAACGGGTAGATTACTGAATTAAGTCAAATTCTGTGGTCCTTGCTTGGACAAGACTCCCACTCAAGCTAGTGGGAGTTTGCTTTTAGTGAAGACCACAGTTCTGAGGCATTGTTGCATTATTACAGGAACCAATGTATTCTTCAAATAAGATGCTTTAATGTTATCGTTCTTCATTACTTTATAGATGCTGCCCTGTGTAACACAAGAAAGTTTAGTTCCCCCTGAATTAAAGGTGAACTAGTAGCATCCTATTTTTGATGCTCCTTTGGAGACTTTGAACTAGGTGTTACAGAGAAACAGCACCATAGCTGGAATTACCCTGTACTATTCATCACATTCACAGAATTTCACAGCTTCATCTGCACGGACCGGGACTGCAGTTTGTCACAGTCATAAACAGTTTGTCATAGTCATAAAGGAAGACATTCTTTGCAACTTCATTCTCCCCTCTCCCCCCCCCGCGGAAAGCACAGTATTTTATTTTTGCCTGCTGTTTTTCCATGACATCCATTAAGTTTCATCAGAGAAGTAAATCGACAGTGTCCTGACACTTCATTTAGGTGCCTGAAATTGAATTTACAGGTTGAAAGCTTTACCTATTTATTTGTTGTGGTCGATTGCAAATGAAAGAGTTCAGTTTTAGTAAACCAAAAAAATAAAAAAAGCCACCTTTTCTAGTGAATTCATCGTATGGAATGGGTTTAGATATATTGCAGCTGTGTGAATGTAATGTACAGTAAGATCATCTTCTGGCTGGGTCATATGATGATGATGCAATAATGCTAAAGAATTTCCTTTTGCACTAAATAGCTGATTCAAAGCCCATTGTAGTCAGTAGAAAGACTCCTGTTGATGTCAATGGGCTGGGGATCAGGCCCACGGACTGACAACTCAGGGTTGTCAAGAGTCACTTAGAGTTCCAGGGGTAACACCTGTATCTAGCAAGTTTACATGTAATGTATTGTCCTTCTGGAACACGTGCCATAACTATAAATTACACGTCCACATTTGCACTACAGATGTTCTTCTTCTAAGACTGTACTTGTCAGCATCTTTATTGAGAACTTACCTTGTGAATTTTTGAAAAAAAAGAATATTACAATGTTTCATAATTTATTTTGTCTGTCTAGTTTTCTTTTTGTAATATGTATGTACAGGTGGTTTGACTTTTAAACAGGGCTGTATAAAGATAATTCTGATTGCATTGAAAACAGGGTTAGTGGTATGCATGCAATATCGAATTTACACACTCTCATTGGATTGAAATGTTTTATACTGTGGATTAATGAGGGACCCTTTTGATGTGAATTTGATTTGTGAACCAGGAATTCTGAGTTGTAGTGTAAAGTTGTTGTATAAAACATCATTTTTATTTTCCAGTGCCCGTTTTTGTACAAAGGAATTCCTGAGCTACTGTATGACTGTCATTGGAATTGTACGGTACATTTCATAGCATGGTAGTACACAGAACTGATGCTGTTTGGCACGTCTCTGACATAACATTACTCATCCAGCCTCAAAAATATGAAACTTGTACAGTAGATCAGCTGCATTTGAATTAAGGATCACGGCAAATACTAGAGATCCCAATATTGTCCAATTACTGGCATTCTTAATGAACAGATTTGAAATCATCCAAATACATTTCTACCTATTTTAAATAGGATCACAGAGCACTTGTTAAGAGTAAAAATAAGATTCTGTTCAATTACTATTGGGGCTACTTATAGTAGTAACAATTCTTGTGGTAAAAAGTACACATTTTTGAGGTACAAGTCTAAATAGCAATGTCTCAATCATAGCATACATTGCATATTAAAATGGTTTGAATTTTCTCTCTCTTCTATAGTCTTGAATCTAAGCTTTGACTAATTTATGAGACTGATTAGTTCTGCAAATCTGACTGTACAATCTTAGACATTTTACATTTGGACCTTTGCACAATAAGTGTTACGTTACCTTAAGTATCTGGTTTAATGAGGGTGTTCATGTATATGGTACTATCCAGCAGAGGGTTTTCTCTGTCTGCAAATTTAAATGAACTATATTGTATATGTACTTGTAAAAATGTGTTAAATCTATATTTAAAAAAATTTAAACATTGTTAAATAAATTCATATGAGAACACTTAATTCTGTCTAACGAGTGCTGAACTTTTACTTGACAAAAATAGTTTTCATTTTGTTGACTGTATTTCCTTTCTTCATAGCAGCCATAAAGCCCTCATACATATTTTGACATAAAATAATACAGATCGATATTATACATGAACTGATTTGTTTAGTGGCAGATAAACTGGTGATAAGAGGGACAGAGGTCTCAGTGACAGTGCTATAATGCTAAATATAAATCCTTTGTCCTTAATCTTGAAATCTTTAGTGAGCATTGATCTGTATCACAAAACTACCAGACAATTTGGCACATCTGAAGCTTAGCCAAGAGGGTCCTAGGACTGGAATAGTAAAGGTATTGCAGTTCAGAGTGGAAGAATTTTTGGAAGAGTTGTTTGGAGAAGCTTGGATAGCCCTGGCCTGCAGTATGGATACCCCGGATTCAGGAAAACACTGGAGCATATACTTGATTCCTATTGACTTCAATGGAATTAAGCACATGTTTAAGTTAAGCATGAGGTTAATGATTCCCTGAATTGGGGCCCATATCTGGCCCAAACTAGCGTCTATTAAAACAACAAGGAGTCCGGTG